CTATTACATGATGGGTTCTCACACAAAATAAGCACACAGGTTTGTGGCTTTGAAGAGGGTGAAGGAGCACTGGGAATGCTGCATTCAGTTTCCAACCTTCTGACTCAGCATCTGCAAGACAGTTTAGGTAAATTCTTCTTCTCAGAAACTGAGTTAGTTCACATTTTCTGAGGGCCTACTATCTGCTAGTGAGCATAGCACTTTTATGCAATCATATTTAATCCTCAAATAGGCTTGTGAGGTAGGTGTTCTTAATCTCTATTTTACAGATGAGGAAATGGAGTCTTAAGTGTTCAAATAACTTGTCTAATGTCATACAATTTGAAGAGGTAATGTGATGGCTCAAAGTCAGGTCATTCTGACTCCAGATCCAGGGGTCTAATGAGGATGTCTCCCTGTAACAGCTCTGTATTCTTGTGATGCATTCAAACCCAAATCATCAACATGTCTTATATCATCTCGTCTAACTCTTCAGCAGGTCAGACAATTTATCTCACTTCAGTTTTTTTCTTCAGTTCCTCTGAGCCTCCCAGGCAATTCATAAATTATCTCTCAGATTTTTCTGAGGTCAGATCATGCTGAGATGTACACCTTCCTTCTTTCCACTTAAAATCTCTTTTCCTGTCCTTTACATACATAGTTCCTAAAACCTCACTTTTGACATGTAAGTTGTTTTGATGAACCAGAACATGAGTTTCTCTGACCATAACTATCACAAAAATAGTACTTTTCTGGAAAACTCATCCATTGCTATACAGTACAAATACTATGTATTTAATTTACTTAAGCTTACAGTCTTGATCACGTCCATCTACATCAATGGTGTCTATGTATAGACAGATGTGTTGCTTTACATAGCTGGTGAAGCCTATGTTTCCCTTCCCTTGAATATGGAAGGCTTATGACTGATTCAACCAATAAAGTATGGTTGATAAATAAGTGTATGACTTCTGAGGCTAAGTCATAAAAAGTCCTGTAGCTTTTGTTGGTTTCTCTTGGAACACTTGCTTTCTGGAAGCTTCCTCTTAGGACACTCCCACTCAGAATCGAGACAGCATAGTGTTTTAAAAAGTCCAAGTCACATGGAGAAGCAGTAGGTAGATGCTCTGGCCACCAGTCCTAGGTGAATCTTGTCTTTGAGTCATCCCAGGCATCAAACATAAGAGTAAAGAGCCTCCAGATGATTTTAGCTCTTAGCTATAGCCATGACATCATGGAGCAGAGACAAGTAATTTCCACTGTGATAAGCCCCATCTGAATTCTGAACTCCTAGAATCTGTGATCAGAAATAAATGTTTCCCCTACTAAGTTCATCTGTTTGTTTTTAAATGCATAAAAGTAATTAAGAAAAAACACATAGTCATTGGTATATATTACAGGCCCCAATGCTAGAAATTCTGGGCATTTAGGTCCCCTCACATGCTGATGAGGAGTCAGAAAGAAACATGAAGGGTAAAGGCTACCTGGAAACTATAGCTAGGAAGAGCATGAGAAAGAGTAATGGCGAGACTGATAAAATAAAAGAAGAGAGGAGAGACAGGAGAGAGACAAAAAAGAAGAAAAAACAGGAAGGAAAGAACTGAGAAGGAAATATAGAGTTGCATGAAAAGAAGGAAGAAAAGGTACTGGAGAATTGTGAGAACCAGTCAAGAAAGGGCATTCCAAATGACAGCCAGGGCATTTGATTTTTAGAATAATTGTTTTTTATTTATTTTTTATTTATTTTGTTATTTCATTTCTTTTTATCCCTAGAGACACTGATTTGGAGAACAGTTGAACCCTCTTGAGCCACTCTCGTTTTATTCCTGCTGTTTTCGGCAAAAGTGGCTCAAGTGGGGATAAGTTTCAAGTTGGATATAGCAAGGATCTGGAAAGGAGAAATGTTTTTTTATTTTAGTTGGGCACCAAAGATTCCAGAAATAGGCTTTTGATTTTTCTTTTCCTTTTTTAATGAAATCACTTGACATTATTGCCCATTATTAAGCCCTTTAGGCTTAAAGGCCACTAGGGAGCAGGTCTGGTTGAAGTTCAATGGTGCTCCTTTGTGAGTGAGCCTGCACAGGCCACAAGTTCACAGGAGGAGAGGGGCAGGGAGCAGGGACCTGGGGCTCCCTGACAGAGTGACTGACTAAACAGCTGACTTATCCTAGATGCTTGTTTATGATGTGGAGTCCCCTGTAGCAGTATAAATGTTGGTCAAGAAGACCCGTGAAACAGGAAGCTAAGAGACAGTTTTTAGATATTTGCTATTCCATAATCTATTAACAAAAGAAATCACTCCCTTTCGACACAGCTGATGGGTAGACTGGTAGACTCCATATCCTGAGCATGTAAAGTTAAGGTTCTCTGATTTCCAAACTGTTTCCAGACAGAATACAGTGGGCTTAGGTCTTCAAAAAACACAGATGTTATGTTCAACCCTGAGGCGAGAACCACTGACATTTTTTTGAAGCAGATATCTCTCATTTATATGTGACTGTAACCTCCCAGAACTCTACGTATTGTGCAGTCAGTTACCACCTAAGGCTAGTTCAACTGCTCTGGAGACAGAAAAGCATTAACCCAAAGGAAGGGATTTCTGTTCTCATGACAGATAAACTAATTCTACAAAGTTGAAAGATACTAGATCCAATGATACAACTTAGTCACAAATTTCCTTTTTTGAACAAAATGACAGGAAGACATCAATTAAAGAACTGTACATTTGTCATCAGCTACAATATAGAAGTATTCCTTCCATCTCAGAATGGCAAAGTCCACTATTTTCATACATTTGTATCTCTATAACCTTTTTCCCTCTGAGCAAAGCAATTCATCTAAATTATGGGTTCATCATCTGCCAAGTTTGTTCCTTTTTTAATGAAATCACTTGACAGTTAATAAACTGAAAGAGAAAGTCTATTCCTTGGGGCTTGCTCTGTTCCAAAGGTTCAGTGTTTTTGAAAATTAAATTTCCTACATGAAAAAAAAAATCTGTTTCCAGGCTGACAGTCCGGTGTTATAGCATAAAGCAATTCTTCTTTCTTTAGCTATAAAAACTTAATAGCTAAAGATGCAAATCCCTGTAAAGCTGGTTACACACTTTACCCTGAACACAAAATCAGCTGAACCATCCATAGAAAGTCATATCAATCAAAGAATTTATCTAAAAAGCTAGTTATATACTTTACATTGGACACAAAATCAGCTAAACCATCCATAGAAAGTCATATCAGTCAAATAATGTATCTAATTTTGGTTCTATTTACATAAGAAATCATTACTTTCCTTAATATTTAAAAGTTGATGAGATGATAATGTCCTGATCTAAAGAATTCCAGACAAAAGGTTTATAAATAGCAGCATGGCAAAGGTTAAACATAGACTTTGGAGTGGGAGAGTCACGGTTACTTGTCCTGGTTCATAAACATGTAACCGTGGGCAGATTACTTAACTGTCAGCTTCTCTATCTGTAAAATGGGTATAAAAATACTTCGCATGGTAGCTATGAGAATAAATGAGAATGCTAGATGTTACAGAGCATCTAATACAGTTCCCAGAAAATAGTAGCTTAATAAATTATAATATATATTATAATTCCATTTATTGTAGTTTATTCCTTATACCCCAATTCAGGAGAAGAACCTGACATCCTATCTACACGAAAATATTAACTCTCGATTGGTTAACATTGATATAAACCAATACTTGGTACCTGAAAAGCAGGCAGATGAAGAGCTGCAAAGCTGTTGAAGAAACGTAAACTCTGAATGGCTACTTGGGTGGTATTTTGGGTGTAATTCTCCTTGGGACTGGCAGTGCTAGGGTCCAAGATGGTGCCATGGAAGAGGACACAGTAGAGCATATGAAGAACTCCAGCCAGGTCGGTTGCCTGAAGAGCAGCTGTCAGCCCTGTGGGATCCTGGCGATTATTGTCAAATATGCTGTATGACCTGACAAAGAAACATTCAATTCTTTGAGAAAAACTACTTAAAGGATGTTAGCAATTTGTATAGGTTAAATGAAACAAGACAATCAGACCATTAAAAACAAACCATCTGAGTTGTGTAATATGGTAACAAAGAACTTCAAGGAATAAATCCCTCCCCACCAACCGCACTGTGGCTTTCTTTTTCTTCTGGAAGACCAGCCTGCTGCAGCAGTGTCAACTGAGCACTCTGCAGCCAGTGCTGAGGCTGCCAACCACCCTTCCCATACTTTGTAGCCTCACGTTGTTTAGTATCCTGGGTCTGGGCAAAGTGGACAGTCTGTGAAAGCTTTTGGGACTCAGAGGCCAAAAACACACTCCTAGCTTCCTTTCTGGATAAAGGCACTCTTCTTAGGGGAGGCAGCTATTAGGAAAGCATGAGGCCTCAAAAACCCAGTAATGTGTTGGTATACTGTGATAGGGAGATTCTTCAGCTGCTTCTGAAGCCCCTTTTCTAACATTGAGGAGTACAGGCGGGACAGGTTGTAGAAGCCACAGCTCCAAGAACAAGCAAGTACTGGATTAGGTCTACACAAATCAGATGAAGTCAGCTTAGCTACCATGGCAGGTAATGTTACAGAAGAGCAAGAAGAGACAATGGCAGTGGCAAATGAATTCCTAAAATCAATAGTAAAGCAGCAGGGGTATGCTAAATCTATCTCATCCTTGAACTAAGGTTTTTTTTTATTATTATTTTTTGTTGTTGAGATGGAGTCTTGCTCTGTCGCCCAGGCTAGAGTGCAGTGGCGTGATCTCGGCTCACTACAAGCTCTGCCTCCCAGGTTCACGCCATCCTCCTGTCTCAACCTCCCGAGCAGCTGGGACTACAGGTGCCCGCCACCACGCCCAGCTAATTTTTGCATTTTTAGTAAAGACGGGGTTTCACCGTGTTAGCCAGGATGGTCTCGATCTCCTGACCCTGTGATCCGCCCACCTAGGCCTCCCAAAGTGCTGGGATTACAGGGGTGAGCCACTGCGCCTGGCCGAACTAAGGTATTTTTTATTTTGCTTTTACTTTTATTTATTTTTTAAAAATTTCCCTTCTTTTCGCAGGTGTTAAAAAAAAAAAGTAGAACCACTCAATGTGAGGGTTGAACCCACTGACTCTGGGATTAAGAGTCCCACGCTCTACCAACTGAGCTAGTCAAGCAATTCTGAACTAAGGTATATGTGAAGCATCTAGTGACTAAGAGCAGGCAGTTATAGTAAACATGGCTGCCAAGCATTCACCCTTTTAAACAAAAACTGTACAAAGATTTCTAAGGAATCACCTCTCCTTAACTCATAGCCAATATGCTTCACATAAATTTCCCTCCCTATTTACTCTGGCTCAAGGGTATCCAGGCCTATGGTTAAGCCACACATTTCTCTGGCTGTTAAGCATTACTCAGGGATGGCACATGCCACAATCAGAGCTAATGGGATAGAGGGAGATACTTTTGCTGAGACGCTTGGGAAGAAGTCATCACTTTTTCCTCTACTGGGTTTGAATCTGAGATGTAAGGTCTGGAGTTGCTATAGCCACTTGTAACCACTGCACAAAACCGCAGGTCTCTTAGTGCTCTTTCTTCATGACACTGATTTTTCTCAGGAAGGCAAGTTACAAGGTTCTACTCAATGTCTTCCTTTAATGTGGCACGATCTACACAACACTGAGCAGGAGTGCTTTTATGTTTCTGGCATGGCATACTACCTTCCCCTACTTTTTAACACTATGAGTTAGTGTTAAAAATCTGGGTTAGTGTATGTACAGGGGTGTGTGTGTGTGTATGTGTGTGTATATATACACACATATACATATATACACATATATATAGGTTGTCATTTGTCATTCCTTTCAGCTGGATGGGAGGTAGTCCTTGAAGAACTATGCTTACTTCATCATCTTTCCCAGAAGCACTCAAGAGGTGTCACTAATTAAACAAGAATTGAGAGGTGCTGACTGGTAAATTTCTAGTATCTTGTTTAGTTTTCTCAATTCATAACTTAGTTTTTCCAAAGGGATCATTTTATTCATTTTACTAGTTGCATCAAAGCAGTTGTATTCGTAACCACGGTACACATTTATTTCTTGAATGTGCACTATTTCTAATATTTCTAAGAATACAGCCAAGTGGCATGACATCTTCGTATACATTGTTCTCTACTCAAGAAAGAAGCTCTTTATGAAATACTGTCATCTCATTTATATGGCAGGATCTGCCAAGTACATTCATATGTGTCACCTTATCTCATTCTTACTGGGTTTTCATAGTTGGTAGAGAAGTTATTCGTCCTCTCATTGTACACATGAGGCAAGTGAGACCTAGAGAAATAAGGTGAAGTGTTTTAGGTCATACAAATTTTTAGTGGCAAAAGCAGGAATATCACCCAGGGCTTTTGACTGTTTAGGGTCAGTGCTTTATTCATGGACCAAAACATCCAGGTCAAACAGAGGCTGACCTCCTCTTTCCTCTCGATGCCTTCTTTTAAGTCAAATTTTGTGATTAAGTAAATACTGTTAAGATATACAGAGACTATAACGCAATCTTGTATTGTCGAGGGGAGATATTTCTGTCTCACAGCACTCAATAAAAAGTTTAAGAAATGATATTTATTTGCTTATATGTATATCTGAACTGTTACACAAACTTCTGTTAGCTAATGTCAGCTGACCCTTACTTCCTTCCATTAAAGCCGAAAGAGTTAGGGGTCAGACCCTGACTAGAGACGTGAGTAGAGATTAATGTGTCTGAGTTTATTATATTGGTTCCAAAAAGGGGCCTGTGTTTGTTTAACACTGATTGCCTTTTAGAACCAGTGACAAGTCAGAAGATATTTCTCCCTAAAGCTGATTTCTAATAGGCTTTCAGAACCTTGAGGATGAGTGACATCATTGCTGGTGACAACAGTTTTACTGCTCTGTGATTCAGAATGGTGACTTCCCCTTTACTCTTGTGTTGCTTTTAAACTGATTATCAGTATATTCTAATACAGATATTCAGGAATATAGCTTTGTCATTTAAAACATTTTATAATACTTAGTCTTTCTGAGCATTTATTAAGTGACAAGAATTCACTGCTATTTCCTCTTCCAAAGAATACATACAAAAAAATCTTAAGAAAAAAAAAAAAAGTGAAGGTTATCAGAACATATTCTCTCCTGCACCATTATTTAGGAAAACACTAATCTGATAGATTATAAAGCAATACAGCCCAGTCTTTTGCAGATATTATCCTAATGAAATAAAAATGGTAATTGAGGAAAATCTGTTAAATAAGTATTTAAGAACTTAGATGTGGAAATGGTTCAAAACGCATAAAATAGTGCTTCATGGAAAAGACCATTCATGTTGAAGAGTCCACAGGATATATGGGGGCAAGGGGAGGGTTTGACTGTCCCATTTGGCTTCCACAGGACTAATGTAGACCTGAAGGGACCGTAGAGAATGTTTACTTTTGATTTAGGTTGAAGTACAGATAATTTGTCCATGAGCAGGCCACTGGCTTCTGTTGGTCTTAACTGTCAGTTATAATCACTTTAAGCCTAAATGTTTATAAGAAAAAAGTAAAAGGCCTTATTCATATCAGGCATGGATCACCAAGTTTTCTTTAACAAATACATAGAAGATGTGAAAAATAAGATCTGAAATTTTGCATAGTACATTCTGAGATCTTTGTAATTTTACCAGATTTTAAGGTGTTTTTGTTAGGTCTTCAGGACTAGAGATCTTAGTGAGACATTCATTTCTGTTCATCAAAAGCTAGATTCAATTAGGGAAAAGTAAAGTTAGTTTTTCATTAATACTGCACAATGCCTGAAAACCCTACTTTACCTTAAAGGAGAGTACAGCTGGGCAAAAACAGCATGATTTGTGTGGGCATGAAGTGCTGTCCATTCCATCTTCATAAACCACTTATATACCGGGCCTTAGTTGGCCTAAAAAAGCAGCTGTGACAGTTCCAGACTCTATAATCCCTTTTCTTCTGTTTGTTTGCCCTCATTTCCATGGTCCCCAGATTTCCAGCTTGGTAACATTCACTCTAATCTTCAGTGCAGGTGATCTTCTAGATTGTTCTCTTAGCTTCTTGGATTTTGGCTTTGTTCTGGAATCCCTGAGGGATTTTGTGATAACATCCCATTTTAGCCCTTAAACCCACAGACCTGCACTCAAAGATCTGCAGAGTGTTGGAGTGGGTGAGACTAAGTCATTGTCTCCCCCAATGATGGATGAGAACTTTACTGTTCAAGGAGAAGTAAATTATTTCTCAGCAGTATCCCAGTTTTTGGATATTATGTTCTGGGATATTCTGAGAAAGCCAAACCGTATCCAGTGACAACGTCATTCATCAGGGTTTAAGGTGAGCACAAACAGGCATGATATTCTGTCAGGTATTCTGTCTAAAAAACCAAAGTACCTGTGCTCCAGGAACTCTGAGCACCTGCGATGGTCAAGGTTAAGGAAGATCAAGCCCCTGTTCTAGAGACGTTACAGTCTAACAGGGGCAGGTGGGTGTATCAGTTTCCTATTGCTGCTGGAATAATTACCACAAGGTAGTGGCTCAAAACAATAAAAAATGAAATATTTTACAGTTCTGAAGGCCAGAAATTCAAAACAGATCTCACTAGGCTAAAATCAAGTTGTCACAAGAGCTGTGTTCCTTTTGGAGGCTCCAGGGGAGAATCCATTGCCTTGCCTTTTCCACCTTCTAGAATATGCCTCAATTCCTTGGCTTATGGCCCCTTATTGCAGCTTCCAAGCCAGCAACAGAGTATCTTCAAATCTCTTTCTAACGCTGACTTTCTTGCCTCTCATCTTTATTTATAAGGACCCTTGTGATTACATTGGGCCCCCCTGAATTATCCAGGATAATCTCACCATCTAAAGATCCTTAACTTAATCATATCTGCAAGATCCCTTAAGCCAAGCAAGGTAATATTCACAGGTTCTGGAGATTCAAATATAGATACTGTTGTAGGAACTTTATTATGCCTACTCCAGAGAACCTAGTCAATCATGATTCATTCATTCAACAAATATTCACTGATGGCCAACTATGTGGCAAGCCCTGTTCTAGGAACTAGAGTTCAGCAATACAATCTATGACCTTTTTCTCATAAAGCTTACATTTTAGTGCAGGAAGATATAAACGAACAAATATACAATATGTAATGTATGGTGTGATACAGGAGCAAGGGACATGGCTAGGAAATGAAGAAGTAGGAATGTGTGTGAAGCTACTTTACATAGGGTGGTTGGGGAAGCCATTTCTAAGGCATTATTTAAGCAAAATTCTATAGAAAGTGAGGAAGAAAGCCATGTGGACACCTGGGGGAAGGGTATTTCAGGTAAAAGAGCAGAAAATCCCAAGGCTTGGAGCCAGAAGTGTGCATGACATGTTCAAGAAACAGCAAGAAGGCCAGTGTGGCTAAAGCGAGTTGAGTACCGGGAAGAGTAATAGGAAATGAGGTCAGAGAGGAAGCAGAGAAGATCAGGTAGGGTCTTGGAAACCATTATAAAACTTTTGGCCCGGCGCGGTGGCTCAAGCCTGTAATCCCAGCACTTTGGGAGGCCGAGACGGGCGGATCATGATGTCAGGAGATCGAGACCATCCTGGCTAACACGGTGAAACCCCGTCTCTACTAAAAAATACAAAAAAACTAGCTGGGCGAGGTGACGGGCGCCTGTAGTCCCAGCTACTCGGGAGGCTGAGGCAGGAGAATGGCGTGAACCCGGGAGGCGGAGCTTGCAGTGAGCTGAGATCCGGCCACTGCACTCCAGCCTGGGCGACAGAGCGAGACTCTGTCTCGAAAAAAAAAAAAAACAAAAAAAACTTTTACTGAGTGATATAGGAAGCCACTGTAAGGTTTTGAGCACAGAAGTTATGTGCTCTGACTTCATTTGAACAATGAGCACTGCATCTACTGGGTTGAAAACTCTTTAGAAGAGCCAAGGTAGAAGCAGGAAGACCAATTAGGAGATTGCTTTAATCATCCAAGTGAGAGATAATGGTGTATGAATCAGGATGGTAACCATGGATGTGGGAAGTGGTTGGATTCTGAAAATATTCAGAAGGGCAAGTCAACAGATTTCCTGATAAACTGGATGTGGGTGTGAGAAAGAGGAGTAAAAAATGGCTCAATGCTTTTTGGCCTGAGTAACTGGAAGACTGTGGTTGCCATTCATAGAAATGGGGAAGAAAGTGAAGAGAGCATGTCTCAGAAGGAAAACCAGGAATTCAGTTTTGAACTGGTTAAATGTGAGATGCCTATTATACATCACAGTGGAGACACTGGATTGGAAGTTGTGTGAAATAAGCTTCCCAAGAATAGGGATTTTTGTCTCTTTTGTTTCACAGATATATCCCCAGGGCTTAGAACAGTCTCACATATAGTAGCTATTCAATACATATGTGTTGAATGGCTGAATAAGTACAGAAGCCCAAATTCAGAGGAGGAGTCTGGGCTTGAGATATTTGGAAACCATCAACACAGAGATGGTATTTAAAACTAGAAACTCATTCTAGTGAGTCTAGAGTCTGAGGATTGATCCTTGGGATACCCCAAAGTTTAGAACCACGAGAGATGAAAAGAAACCAGCAAAAGAAACTAAAAAATAGTCACCAGTAGGGTAAGAAGAAAACCAGGACAGTATGGTGCCCTAGAAGCAAAGTGAAGATAGCTTCAAGGAGGAGAAAGTAATCACAACAAGGTTTACCTACAAATAAACGTGAGGACTAAAAACAGGAGGAAATATATACAAATGACTTAAGTCTTATTTTTAGATTATAAAAACTAATTCCACATGCTTAAGATGGGAGGAGGGTAAGTAATAGGGAATGCAATACAGCTAGTCAACAATAAGTGGGAAAAAAGACTTAGCAAATTAGGTGCCTAGCAGTTCAAATGAGAAAACAGCACTGCTTGATTAACAAAGAATGTAAGTCAATTTTGACTAACAGGAGTACAATGTACACAACAAAGAAGGTTTAGTCCTGCTCCAGTGCACTATATGACTATTCTGGAAGTGCTGTGTCCAGCACTGGGTGCAGCTCTAATTCAGGACACAGAAGTATGAAAGTTCCCAAGTAAAGCAATCTGTGTGGTAAAAGCATCTGGAAATAATGTCACACAAGGAATATTTGAAGGAATTGAGAAGTTTAGCTCAGACCTGAAGGACACAAAGGCTATCTTCAAACTGAAGAAGTATTTATTTATGAACCCAGGGGAGACATGTTACTAGAAAGTATATATGAAATAAATCTATGGAAAATGTTCTAGGGCTAGGTGTGGTGGTACACGCCTATAGTCCCAGCTGCTTGGGAGGCTGAGGCAGCAGCATCACTGGAGCCAAGGAGTTCGAGGCCACAGTGGAGCTACATGATGGCTCACTGCACCTCCCAGCCTGGGTAAACACAGTGAGATCCTATTTCTGAAAAAAAAAAAAAAAAAAAATTATAGTAATGAGAACACCCAACAAAGTGAATTGGGTTGTTTGGTGTGATATGAATTCTTCTTCATCCTGAAAGAGGTACCTGGAGGTCCACCACTGTAGTAGCAGAGGGCATCAAAGACCCAGCTGGACATGAGCCTAGATGATGTCTAAGTTCTGTTCAATTTTGGGATGTTACAACGATATAATCTACTTGAAAATTATCAGTGAGCTCGGCAGCGTGGTGGCTCACGTCTGTAATCCCAGCACGTTGGGAGGCTGAGGCAAGCGGATCAAACAGTCAGGAGATTGACACCATTGGTGGCCAACATGGTGAAACCCTGTCCTCTACTAAAAATACAAAAAAATTAGCTGGGTGTGGGCACACACCTGTAATCCCAGCTAGTCGGGAGGCTGGGCAGGAGAATGACTTGAACCCGGGAGGCGGAGGTTGCAGTGAGCTGAGATCACACCCTGTACTCTAGCCTGGTGAACGACATGAGACTATCTCTCAAAAAAAAAAAAAAAAAATTTATGGTCAGTCTCTCTCTCACACAGACGCACACACATACAGCACACCCTCCCTCTCTAACCTTTTATGTTATATATACAGTAGATGTGGACAATAGCTTTAAAAAAAAAAAAAAAAAATGGAGCTCTGTTGAAGAAAATGGGGATGACTTAATGGAGAGCTGAGGGCAAGAGAAAAGTCAAGGTGGAATGTATGTATATGTAAGCACTCCAAGACAGTCAGGACATTTGGTTAGAGAACAGCAAAAATAGGCTGGGCGTGGTGGCTTACGCCTGTAATCCCAGAACTTTGGGAGGCTGAGGTGGGTGGATCATATGAGGTCAGGAGTTCAAGACCAGCCTGGCCAACATGGTGAAACCCTGTCTCTACTAAAAATACAAAAATTAACCAGGCATGGTGGCATATGCCTGTAATCCCAGCTACTAGGGAGGCTGAGGCAGGAGAATGTCTTGAACCCAGGAGGTGGAGGTTGCACTGAGCCAAGATTGCGTCACTACACTCTGGCCTGGGGAACAGGGTGAGACTCCGTCTCAAAAAAAAAAAAAAAAAAGGGAAAAGAACAGTAAAAATATAGGGACAATTAGCTAAAAAGTGAGAACATTAGGTAGGATGGGCTCAGATACCTGGGATAATTTCCAGTTACCTGATTATGAGTTTCAGGCGAACTCAAAGAGGAACCCCCTTTTTTTTTTTTTAAAAGGCAGGGTCTTGCTCTGTTGCCCAGGCTGCAGTGTGGTGGCACAATTGTAGCTCACTGTAACCTTGAACTCGTAGGCTCAAGCAATCCTCCCATCTCAGCCTCCCAAGTAGCTGGGACTACAGGCATGTGCTATTACACTTGGTTTTTAAATTTTTTGTAAGGTGAGGAAGATGAGGTCTTGCTATGTTGCCCAGGGTGGTCTCAAACTCCTAGCCTCAAGTGATCCTCCCACCTCACCTCTCAAAGTGTTGGGATTGCAGCTGTGAGCTACTGTGCCTGGCTAAAGAGGAACTCTTGAGAAGGGAACCTTCCTGAGAGGAGAAGTGATAGATGATGAAAATGGTATGGACAGTCTTGCTGTTTGGGATCAACAACCTGGAAGAGGCTGAAGAAAGAGCAAGACCAGAGGGCACCGATAGGAATGGAAGGTAAAGGACAAGGCCACTAAGAA